CTCCCGCCCCCCCCACCGTGTCTCATCCCTGACATCCCATAGCAGACGCGGCACCACATCCCATCCTTGCCACTGAGGTCCCATCCCTGCCATCATCATGTCCCATTCCTGCCGCAACATCCCATACACAGACACCTGTCCCACCTCCACCCCCACGTCCCATTCCTGCCACTCCATCCCACCTGTGGCACCTCGTCACATTCCAGCTGCTTTGTCCCATCCCTGTCCACACCTCCCATCCCTGGAGCAGCTGCCTCTGCCCCCAGGGCCACCCGATGTCCCCATCCGTCCCCAGCCTGGTGCCGGTCCGTGTCCTGGCTCACCTGGGGATGAGTGCTCGGAGAGCTGGAACAGCATGGCAGGCGTGGGCCTCCGCCGGCGGATCTGAGGCACAGCAGTGTCACTCGGTCCCCTGTCCCCTACCTAGTGCCCCAGGGCTGAGCCCCATCGTGTCCCCATCCCATGGGTGCTCAATAGCACATGGCAGGGGACAGGTGCAGTGCCCCATGGAGGGGCCGTGTCCCCATCTCAGGGTCCCCATGCTGTCCCCTACCTCCCCCAGCCCCTCACAGCCCCCAGCCCCACACAGCTGTGGGTCCAGGGTGCACAGGAGCCACATCCTGTGGGTGTTCCCTCAGGCTGGGCACAGCCTGCACAGTCCCATCCTGTTCTTGTCCATTCCTGTCTGCTCTGTCCCAGCCATTCCCTTCTGTTCCATTCCTGCCCTATCCCCACGCATAACTCCTGCACAAAACCGCCGCTGGCACAAGACCTCAGAGCACTTTGTCCTGTCCCTGTGTCTCCCTGTCCCATCCCATCCCCTATCCTGTCCCTTCCTCTCCGTACCCCTATCCCATCCCCTCCCTCTTGTCTCCTCTGTCCCTCATCCTATCCCCCCAGTCTTCCTCGTCCCTCTCTCCCTGTCCCATCCCTTCCCTCCCGTCCCACGCTGTCCCCGTCCTGTCCCCTGCGCAGCTCTCCTCCACCTCGGGGCACCCATGGGACACCACTGGCACTCTCACCACCCGCACCCCACGGTCCCTCACTACCCGGGGTCAGCAGGAACACGGTGCCACGCCGGGGACCCCACTGTGACCCCGCTGTCACCCTGCGCTCACCATCTCCACGGCGCGGGGGTCCAGCTGGCTGGGGGGTGCCGGCACTGAGAATTGGATCTTTTTGCGGTCCTTGGGATCCATGGCTGCAGGATCTGTGCTGCTGCCCGGTGCCACGCGGAGTTCGGCAGCGCCCGGGCTGAGCACGGTGAGGACTGAGCGGCGGGAGGTGGGGAAGGCAGAGCCGCGAGGAGGAGGAGGAGGAGGAGGAAGGAGAGGGAGGGAGGACACGGCTCCTACCAGCGCGCTGCATTATTCATCCCCCGGGCAGGGGGGCTGAGGCCATGGATAATGAGCCCTCGGGGAGCCCGGGAGGGGGGCTCAAGCCTGCCGGGCCCCTTAACCCGTTCCCCACCGGGGGGGGGGG